ATGTTATGGTGCATGTGATTAAAAAAAAATGTCTGAAGCCCAATCTTTTTTACATGGCATGTTCCTGAACGGACACTGTAACCTAAAATGTGGTGTACTTTCCAGTAGCTTTGTTATACGGAAATTTTGCTGTGTATAATTTGACTCACCATAACAAGTATTGCTGCATCAGTGATTAATATGCCCTCTGTGACTTAAATTTATCCAGTCTGATTTTACTTTTCTAGATCAGATTTCACTTTGGAAGTAAAGCAAAGAATAATTGATATGTCAAATTATTTTATGTATTATTTACGTAACCACACTGACATGCACCAAAAGAAAACATATTCATGAAAGAACATATGTATACACTAACCTTACCAGATATATGCCACCTGACAACTTGAATCAGCTTGTATTTCTTTACATGTAAAAGATGTCAGAACCAAAATTTTTCAGTTCACTTACTAACCTGCTTAAAGAGTGGAAATCTTTCATGAAATGATTGTTCTCTGCCACCATTTACACAGCAGAACAAGGGATTATTTAATTTCCTACAATCCATTATACTTTTAATGGATTACTAATTCTAACAATATTGTACCCCTAACTCACATTTCAAAATTATTAACAAGCATTGACAATTTCTGATTATTAAACTGGAAGCAAGTTTTCCATTTACAAACTTACAATGAGCACAAAGTTCAATAGCTTGTATATCCAACATCCAGATTTACTATATTTGATACACAGAGAGGCATTTCCTGCAAACAGGAACACAGCCTTGACTTAAAGCCCAGAGCTGAACTTTGAATGTTTCAGTTTAAGGGCTAGCCAGCAATTTTAGTACATAAGACTTATTCTAAATAATTATAAATTCATACACTGTTATTAAATGAAAAAAATATGAACTGGAGAGTACTACCTTCTGCGATGCACAGCGAAGTCTGCTTGCTGCGAGTCTGGCCTACTCTTTGACTCTGATGATGGAGGCAGTACATTCCTCCAAAACATGAGCAAATCTCTACAATATTTCATGATGTCACATCTAGTAGGGGGCCGAGTCCAGTTGGGTCCACTCAGCACAGCAGCCACTGATTGGCGAATTGTACCTGCCCCGGGTAATTATGATGATGGAGAATTTGGTGGAATGAAGATTGGCAGGGGAAACCGAAGTACTTGGAGAAAACCTACCTCAGCGCTACTTTGTCCACCACAAATCCCACTTGACCAGACCCAGGCTGCCACAGTGGGAAGCCAGGGACTAGCCACTTGAGCTATGGCATGGCCTCCTGTCACATCCAAAAGACAGCACTCTATGAGTTAATGCCAGTACAGCCTCAATTCTAGCAAAACAGAGACTGTTTTGGGCACAGGCATAAAGATTCTGGCTTGTTCTGCATGTGAACTCATATTAAAATTATAGGTACAGAACTGAATATGACAATTAAGAAAATTAGTATTCTTACCTGAGAACATGCATACAAAGGGGGCACAAACATGGACATTACAAAGACAAAGTAATGTGGAACAGAGAGTTTTGTTCTCAAGGAAAGGCATTTTAGTGTGATCAACAATATGCAATAGCATCAAAATACATTGATTTACCATCTAGTGCAGTGTGACAGTTGCAAAAAGTGAACAATTGCCTGAAATTGGCCAATTGGGGTAAACAGGTAGCGACTGATGTGATTTTAATGTCATTTTGCATTAAAGACAGACTGTGAACAGTTTTAAGTTGCATTAAAGACAGAAGTGAATGAATGAAACATCAATGGTACAGGATGCTCAAATATAATATTCTTACCTGAGGTTATAAAACATGCTACAGAATTCTGAATGATACAATGAAGTCTATAATGGGACAGTAACAGTAGAGAGAAAGCACCGACATCAAAAAGCAGAAAATCTGTTAACTGAATGAGTGTTCATTACTTGCACTAATCACAACAAAATCTCTGATGAAACGATAAGAGAATCATACTCCTCGATATCTGAAGGGAAAAGGATATTGGGGAGTCCTGTCTTCTGGGATATGATACTATGTAGTTGTTACTTGAAATTCAACTGATGTTTTGGCGAAAAATGTTATGTCTATCTTCAGGTATGAAGAATAAGCCAAGCAAGAAACCAGTGCGAAGTGCGGCTCTGCTTGAGATTGGTTCTGATAAAATGATACCAAGACGTGTCTATGATGAACCCTGCATGATCAGATTCCTTGACAGAAGGAATGAAAAGAGGGGTTTCAGCCTGACAGAAAGGGGGGACTAATCTGGCACACAGATGGCTCCAAGACAAATAAAAGGCACTGGAACTGGGGTATATAGCCTTGGGCACTACACAAGAGTATTCCAGGCAGAAGTGTATGCCATTGAGGCATCCACAGTTGAGAATCTAGATAGGAACTATAAAAAGAGAAACATCTACATTCTATCAGACAGTCAAGCTGCAATTAAAGGACTTAGCAAATACCAGATCACCTCAGGTCCTATGAACAGATGTTCAGATCCCATTCTTGCCAACTGATCTGCTGTTTCATTGACTGGATTATTACAGTTAGTGTGTTTAAAAATGCTATTTTTTTTAACCAAATTGGTTTGTGTCCCTTCTATTTTCTCTTCCCAAAGGAAGCCAAGCTTCCACCAACAGAACTGCAGGGCGGTGGATGCTTGGCTTACTTTAAGGACAGGAAATAGAAGGGACATGAACCAATTTGGTTTAAAAAATTAACATTTTTAAACACATTAACTGTAATAAATATTTCAACATGTTGGTAGAAGCCGCTGTAATTGTTAAAAACATTAGATTTATACATTGTATTATTAACATATTAACATTCAAAATACATATTGTAATAGTGTTTTCTAATTGTATTGATACACTTCTGATGATGGTCTATAGCAGTGATTCTCAACCTTTATGAGACTGCAGCCCAGCAAGTTCTTTCTTTATAAGATGAGGGCCCAGTCCCAACAAATTTACTCGTAAATACCTTTCCAGTTTTGTTAAAGTTCATGCATTAAGCTAACATAATATTAGTAATTAATTATAGCATAATCATAAAGAGTATTAGTGCACTTATGTATACAGTGTGGCATGTTGACAAACATAAAATTACATTTAAATATAGTTATCAGTTAGTAGATGGCTTCATAGCTTCATTTCCCAGAACAGTAGCACAAATGACACATTGAGGTCGTGGCAATTGGTCAGTGTAAGGGCATTGTATGAAACCAAATTTTAAGTAGCTGTCCATGTATTTACGAAGGGATGCAGACATTTTCTTCTGTGAGCTGGTGGTTTTCCCTTCATTTTGTACATCCTGGACATCACTATGTAGGCTTGAGGTGGATGAATCACTACTTGTTGCATCACAAACACCTTCAATATGAGATTTCTTAACACCAAAATTAAACAAAGTCCCCTGTCTCTTATTCATATTAAAATTTAAATCACTCAGGTTTTGAAACAAGCACTTAAACACTGCAATGCAAACTTGCGAAGAAACAGTATTCAGTATTACTAGATTTGAGAACCAGATACAGACTGCCTTGATCTTCAATTTCAGTGGAAACATTTTCTTTATACTTCCTTGCTGATTGGACACTGACATTTGCAACACAGATGTTATTTTGCTCAGTTCTGAGAACAGGATATGCCGCCCATTGTTGTAATCGGCTTGCAGGCAATTTTTATGACTGGTCATAAACATCGGTATTGCCTTTCCCAAATGTTGAAAGATTTGGATGTCTGAAAATTCCCAATCATTCATGAATACTTCCATGTTTAAAAATATGCGGCTTGAGAAGCACTGGTCTATAGTACTGAAACATGTAAAGGATAAAAGATTAAAAAGAAAAAACCATCAGTCATCTGGACAGAATTAATTAACCTTTGCAATAATTCCATTTAATTAGTTAGTTAGTTGCTGGCTTCCCACCGCTGCGGTCTAGTAAAGTGGGATTTGTGATGGACAAAATGGCGCTGGGGCAGGTTTTCCCCGAGTACTTTGGTTTCCCCTGCCAATCCTCATTCCATCACATTCTCCATAAACATTATCACCAGTACAGGCACAATAGGACATATGGAAGCCGACGTGCCGAGGGGACCTAATATGGATTCTACCTCACACTATGTGAAATCTTAACTACTGTAATCTATTGTAAACAATTTTAAGTATTGTAACTTTATTCTCTTATTGTAATCAGCCAAGGTACAGTAACTGACTTGTCCTATATCATGTAACAATGATCTATAGAGACGAAATAAATACATACATACAAAGATAAATGTACGGGATACTCATGTAATCTACGTAAGATTTCAATAATTTGGATCAAATATCATACCACAAGAATGTTTAGCTTGATAGATTTCTGTACATTTCTAACTTCATTCAGTGTAGTAGGTATGGGATTCATATACAAAATAACATGTCTAATACGTCGATGTAACTTCGTGGGTAAACGTCGACTCCTGTTTCACGACATCAAATCACATACAAATCGGTAGAGAGTAAGCAATAAATTATACACTCTAAATCACTATTATGCAAACGATTACAACCGACCATAACTACCGCCAACGGTAGACAAAATCAAATTGCTTTCTTAGGGGAATCTGTGACTCTTTCAGACAAATATAATACAATAGGTGTAATAATACATATAAATAGATGTATTGTAATTTTGTGTTACCCATTTCCTTTGTCTTTGTGCAACTTTATATTAATGTTCACACGTATTGTTCGTTATTATTCCACACTCTATTTTTCGGCCTCACTGGCTATAATCATGTGTATCTCGTATAAGCTGTTGGCTGAACGAATTTGGTGCCCTGTTATACACTATTCTTCATGAAGTTCATAAAGTTCATGAATTCGCTTTGAATCATTTGAATGATTCAAATATTTCGCGTCATATCACGTGCTGTTGTGTGATTGGTACAGATAGTACAGATGATCCGATCAGATGGCAGGAGTGTTCGGCGCAGATGACGATTTCTCATGTTTGCGACCTAGAGGTGAACGTGGTTCGTTAAATAGTATTGGCAGCATTGGCAATATTGGTTCTGTGTGGTTGGTTTCTCATATGTCATGTGATGGTATGGGAAACCCAATTTCGATACAAAAGATGGAATTCGATTTTAATAATGTCTGCCGTCTGTGTATGTCAAGGGAAGAACCTCTGGTACATATATTTGACGAAGAGGAAATGCTTTCAGTTAGAATAATGTCTCTTGTACCATTAGTAAAAGTAGGTTATTATTGCATTTCTGTTAATTATTTTCCTATCGTCAGTACAACAGAAAATATGTAAAAAAAAGTCTGTTGTTGCAATGTACAAAGAAAAGAAAAAATTTGAGGTTTCACAGTTCACAGCGATTGTTACGAAGAGTTGCCTTGTGGGATACAATGTCGTCTATTCCTACGAAAATCAGTTGATGTCTCTGAGGAACATGTTGCCCCTATCTTCAGGGTTGGGGAATATGCCATGCAGGAAACTAGGATGAAGCGGAGAGAAAGGACAGTTGCAGTCTCCGGTTTCTTGCTTGTATTTTTTTGCACCAGGAGATGGAGGTGATATGTTTCTGTCAAACTTTTGTTGATATTCAGTAGAATACACAATGTTATATCCCAGATATGTAAAGATGTAAGATGATAAAGCTGTAATTATATCTGCACTGCTGAAAATAAATAGCAGAGATTTTAAAGCAAACAAAGTTCCTTTGAATTTTCTGTCTTGTAGAAATGTAATTATATTTTAGCTCCATGTTGATGACGGATTGCCGTCTCAAGTGTGCCAAAAGTGTGAATACCAAGTGAATACATCTTACAAATTTCAACTCCAGTGTGAGGAATCCAATGCTACACTGCGCCAATGCCTTGCAGCTGTACAGTCATCTTATCTGACAGTGGCAGGATCAGTAAGATCTTAGTTACTTTTAGAAACATACTGTGGCTGCTTTAAGTGCTACATAATTGTTTATTGCCATTAATATATCTATATTGTCTTTGATATAGAATACTGTGAATGATGAAACTACAGTAGCCTCTGACATCTGTGAAGCTCAAGATAGTGACCATAATTTTCAAGATTCTGATGTACGTATAAGTAAATTCTTAAAGGTAACTTAATGCAAACAGTTAAAGTAGACTTGGCAATTTATATTTCCTTTCCTTTGAATCAGATTGTGTTATTCCATTTGCGCATCTTTAAATGACAAGTGAAATCTTATTGCTTTATTGATATTGCTCTTTTTCTACTGCCAATCTGAGACATGATATTAGCTATAGTACCTGTATTATTTTATTGTCTGAAATGGATGATTTTTATTTCTATTCATGGTAATTTGCAGGAGTGCTGTAGGTAAAGATCTCTTGAAATTGCATGTTCAAGAAACAATTTTTGATATAATTTTTGAGTGGAGAAATGGGAGAAAAATTAGTTTTCATAGTTCATCATGTTAATTTGAATTTTATTTGCAAGAATTTCTTTTATTAGATTCTTTTGTTTCATTGTAGGATGATGCTCTTAAACTGAATGTTACTGAATATAAAGATCTTAAGCAAAAGAAATCAGAGGAAGTGATGTTTAACTTGAAAGGGTGAGTTTTAATTACTATTACTGGCATATATACTGTACATTGCATGTAACACAAAATACAATGAGTATGAGTATGAATATGAGGGGTGAGCCATAAAACTCAGCCCTAGCACTGCAACCTTCAATGATCTATTGTGCTTCCCCTTTGGACTAACCATTTATTAATCCTACACTTCGAATGAAATGTAGGACTTTATTTATGGGGGCATCATAAAAGTCACTTGGTTCCATGAAGAACTGACCCAGGTGGCAAAATCTTAAGTAAGCTATAGCCTCACAATAACATAGGATGTGTGTGGCTGATTCTTCTTCTTGTAGGCACCTCTCACAAGTTGGGTCATCTGTCAGTCCCAGTTTGAAAAGGTGTCCTTTTAGGTGGCAGTGTCCAGTAAGTAATCTTACCACCCATCTTAATCGATCTCTGTTTAATTTCAACAGGTCCCTCATTCTTTTGGCAGAGGGTCCTGATATAAATCCTTTTGCCTGTTTGAGTCCAGTTTTGGATTCCCAGTGCTTTTTGTGATTTCTGTTTTTCCAGTCCCTGATCATTTTCTTGGCAACTCCAATTGAGATGCCAAAAGCTGGTTCAGCTGTTCAGATCCTGTTCTTGCCAGGTGATCTGTGGTTTCATTCCCTACAGTACTCTCCTACTGAGATGCCGCAAGCTGGTTCAGGTCCTATGAATGGCTGTTCAGATCCTGTTCTTGCCAGCTGATCTGTGGTTTCATTCCCTACAGTACTCTCCTACTGAGATGCCTCAAGCTGGTTCAGGTCCTATGAACGGCTGTTCAGATCCTGTTCTTGCCAGCTGAACTGCGGTTTCATTCCCAGCAATACTCTCCTACTGAGATGCCGCAAGCTGGTTCAGGTCCTATGAACGGCTGTTCAGGTCCTGTTCTTGCCAGCTGATCTGCAGTTTCATTCCCTGCAATACCCTCATGACCTGGCACCCATATCAGTTGTACTCTGTTATGTTTGGCCAGTTGTGTGAGGGATTGGTGGCAGTCCCAGACCAACTTTGAAGTGATTTGGTGTGTACCAAGTGGTTTAATTGCAGCTTGACTCTCTGATAGAATATAGATATTCCTATTTTTATAGTTTCTATCTAAATTCTCAACTGTCCATGCCTTAATGGCATACACTTCTGCCTGGAATACTGTTGTATACTGACCAAGGCCGAAACTACGTTTCCACCCTATTCCATCACAATACACCCCAGCTCCAGTGCCTTTATTTGTCCTGGAACCATCTGTATACCAGATTAGTCCTCCCTTTCTATCAGGTTGAAACCCCTCTTTCCATTCACTTCTATCAGGAAATCTGATCATGAAGGGTTTATCATAGATATGTTTTGGTATCATTTTATCAGATCCCATCTGCAGGATGGGTTCTTTTTTCATATCCTGAATCATGTATGCATGTCCAAAACCTTCATATTTATTTCTTCATTGATCATTGCAACATAATCTGTAATTTCCTAACTTGGCCTCTGCTTCCATCTGCAGATGCAGTGGGGGGAGTCCTAGTAGGATTTCCATTGCAGCTATCTGAGCTGTTCTCATTGTTCCCGTAATTTCCAAGAAGGCCATCCTTTCCAATTTACTAAGTTCTGCCTGACTTGTTTTAAGTTTAACTCTGGGCCACCATATAGTGGCAGCATAGGTAATTATGGGCCTTACTACAGCAGTGTATATCCAATACACCACCTTTGATTTCGGTCCTCAGGTTTTTCCAGACGTGCCTCTGCATGTCCAGAAGGCCTTATAGGCCTTGTTAATAGCCTTGTCCAGCTGTTGTTTTCCATGTCAGCCCCTTGTCTAATGTTATTCCAAGGTACTTGACTTCACTGGATAGCCTGACCACTTGACTGAAGAGGATTGGTTCCGTAAGCCCCATAATATTCCTCCTCCTAGTAAAGGGTACAATCACGTCCTTTCGCACCCCTGTTGAACTGTGCACAGGGCTGTTTGTAAGACCTCTGACACAGTGTAAGGGAATTTCCCATTGATTAGGATTGCTATATCATCAGCATATCCTACAGTGAAATGAACTTTACTGTTGAGCTACCAAAGAAGATCATCCATGACCAGGCTCCACAGCAGAGGGGACAGAACACCACCCTGTCACCGCAGACGCTCTCAGGGTCTCTCCAGACGATGTAGCACTTATATTCCTGCTTTCCTGCATGGCACAAATTGATCTGCATATTGCGGGCTCAATGCCATGCCTTTCAGCAGCCTGTTTTATTGTGTTAAAAGAGGTTCTGTCAAAGGCTCTCTCTATACAAGGAATGCTCCAAGGGCAATATCCTTGTGTTCGATGGCATTTTCTATGTGTGTAACCACATTATGCAGAGCGGTTTCAGTAGATTTACCTATTTGGTAAGCATGTTGGTTTCAGTGCAGAGAATGAATCTTCAATGCACTGTCCCTAATGTGTCTACTACTTTCTCCATCGTTTTCAAAAGAAAAGACAACAGGCTGATAGGACAATAAGCCTTAGCCTCGGTATAATCAAGTTTCCCAGGCTTCGGTATAAATGTCACTTTGATTTTCCTCCAGGCCTTAGAAATAAACCCATGCGCCATGCAGGCTCTGAATATGCCGCATAGGTGTGGGGGACTATATGTTCCACCCCTTGCTGCAGAAGTGCTGGTACAATTCCATTTGTTCCCACAGACTTAAATGGTTTGAAAGTACCTAAGGCCATCTGATTTTTGATTAATTGATTACCTAATTGGCCAAGTTCCAGTCTCCCCTGTTCGCTATGTGTCCACATACATCCAGATTCTGCTGGACCCGCCCATCACCTGTAACATCTGTCAGCTTTGAATCAGGAAACTGAACTCTGAACAGTTCTTTCAGTGTTCCTTTCCCAGTTTGGATATACTTACCATCAGGTAGCTTGATAGTGCTGACCTTGTTGGTCGCCAGTTTTGCCATGACCCTCATGAGTCTGGGACTGCGTAGTACGTCATTGATCTCCTGGCAGTACCTCCTCCATGAGGATCGTTTGGCATTCCTTATTTCTTTATTATAACAGGTGAGAGTTACATTGTAGGTGTCCCACTGCCCTGTTCTTTTTGCTACATTAAATAGCTTTCTTGTTTTAGCTCTTAGCCCACTCAGCTTGTTATTCCACCAAGGTGCATTTCTTGGTAAGCGAGTGATCTTGGCTGGACAAATATAATAGGATAAGATAATGGCCTGTTGCAACTGGTCAACAGATCAATCTATGTCCCTTATCGTGCGTATATTTCACGAAATAATCTCCAGATTCACCTTTAGGTTGTCCTTGTATGACTCCCAATTGGTTCTCCTAGGATTCCTAAAGGTAACTTGTTTTGTTGTCATGTTACCTATTTGAAAACTTGTGTATATTATTGGGGATCATCAGTGTGGGTTTTGACATAATGGATCAACTACAGATCAAATAGTTACTATAGGATTCTGATGATGGTGTATAACACACAGACATATTAGGTTTTCAGGCTTTATCCATCGTCCTGGTTTTTAAGATAACTAAGAAAAACACGACGTTTCAGAAACTGGATCTGTTTCCGACCTCAGGTGAGGGAAAACACCTATTCTGTTGGGTCCCTTAGAAAGAGCCTCAATCACTGGATAAACGATGTCACAAAACACAAAGGTTATAAACACCTGAGACCAGGCTAAATCCATGAGAGCTAATAAGAAAAATATACATAACACATTGTTCCCTCACCTGAGGACGGAAACAGATCCAGTTTCTGAAACTTTGTGTTTTTCTTAGTTATTTTAAAAACCAGGACGATGGATAAAGCCCAAAAACCTAATATCTCTGTGTACAGATCAGATCTTTTGCATTCAGCAGATACTGGAGAAAAAATGGGAGTATAATGAGACAGTACATCAGCTATTCATAGAATTCAAGAAAGCCTATGATTCAGTTAGGAGGGAAGTATTGTACAGTATTCTGATAGAGTTTGGGATACCCATGAAACTAGTTAGGTTGATTAAAATGTGTTTAAATGAAACGTATAGTAAAGTCCGTGTAGGTAAACATTTGTCTTACAAATTTCTAAAACAAGGAGATGCTTTATTACCACTCCTTTTCAACTTTGCTTTAGAATATGCCATTAGGAAGGTCCAGGGAAACCAGGTGGGACTGAAATTAAATGGGACATATCAGCTGTTGGCCTATGCCGATGATGTGAATCTATTGGGTGATAATGTAGATACCATAATGAAAAACACACAAACTTTAATTGATGCAAGAGGTTGGTATAGAGGTAAACATAGAGAAAACTAAGTGTATGTTGCTGTCTCATCACCAAAATGCAGGGAAAAATCATGACATAAAGATAGGAAACAGTTGTTTTGAAAATGTGGCACAGTTCAGATATTTGGGAACAACGATAACAGATCGAAACCTGATTCAGGAGGAAATTAAGAGGAGATTGAACTCGGGTAGTGCTTGCTACCATTCAGTCCAGAACCTTTTGTCTTCTCGTCTGTTGTCCAAAAACATAAAAATTAGAATATACAAAACTAATTATGCCTGTGGTTCTGTATGGGTGTGAAACTTGGTCTCTGACATTAAGGGAGGAACATAGACTGAGGGTGTTTGAGAACAGGGTGTTGAGGAGACTATTTGGACCAAACAGAGATGAAGTCACAGGAGTTTGGAGAAAACTGCATAATGAGGAGCTTCATAACTTGTACTCTTCTCCAAGTATAGAATGATCAAGTCAAGGAGGATGAGGTGTAGCACGAGTGGGGGAAACAAGGAATGCGTATAGGATATTGGTGGGAAAGCCAGAAGGAAAGAGACCACTGGGAAGGGATGGTATGGATTGGATTGATATGGCTCAGTATAGGGCTCTTGTGAACACGGCATTGAAACTTCGGGTTCCATAAAATGATGGGAAATTCTTGAGTAGCTGCAGAATTGGTGGCTCCTCCAAAAGGGCTCAGCTCTTTGAATAAGTAAGTAAGTATGTATCTGTGGTCCGATAAAGACGGCTCACCAGATACATGTCAATTACTGACCAGGTTTTCTGTTTTATCTGTTCCCACCATCAAGTCAATAACCTCCTTCCTATTGCAGACAACAGAGATAGGTTTCTTACCATGGTTTAGAACATTCAGGTTTGAACTCACCAGAAATTTCATAAGGCTTTCTCCCCTTGGATTGGTGCCAGTGCTGCCCCACAAAATGTGGTGGGCGTTGGCATCACGCCCAATAATGAGTTGCTTTTTCCTGCTATACGAGTAGCAGTAGTCTGTGATGTCCCTCATTTCCTTAGTTGGTGGTGGTTCATCCGAGTCGTATGGAAGGTAGACTGAAGCAACAATCAGCTCCATGCAACCTCCTCGATACGTGTACGTTATCCTCCCTGCTGTTGCATCCCTACAACAGAACTCCACCAAATTTAAGGCATTAATATGATTCCTGATGTAAACACAGGGTCTTGCATTATTTCCAGGTACATCAGTGTAAATTGTTCCCCCTGTGTTGGTTAAAACCCTTATTTGACCCTTGTATAACCAAGGTTCCTGAATAAGTGCTATATTTGCTTTTCCCTCAGCTAGCTGTTGGCATAAAGTTGCCATGGCTGCTTTGCTGTGGTGTAGGTTAATCTGAAGAAATTTCATGTTATGTGTGTGTACTGTGTGTGTATGTGTATATTCGAGTTTATGTGTGCGTGTTACGTCCTGGTGGCAGGGGGGCGTGGAGGTATCCCACCGGTGCCACCACTGTACTGCCGCAGAGCAGGGGGGCGTGGAGTTATCCCTCCTCGCCTCCACTTGTAATGTCGTAAGCTGGTACCACTTGTAACGTCGTGATGATGGGGGTGTGCAGGTACCCCTCCTTGCCACCCCAGCTTATGCTGTAAGGAGTTAACACAATACTCCTAGCTCACCCTTAGCTAGGATTCCCCTGTTCGGGGTTTCCTTCTCTCATAAAGCTGCCACCATCTATTATATGACCTAAGAAAGGTGATGTAAGTACCGAGGGCCGGTAGCGCGTAGTCGAGCGTTCACTGTTGGCTGGCCCTTTCGGCGCTGTCACCTCTTATTTCTGGCGTAGAGCGGGCGTGTCTGGTCTGACCCGCCTCTACCTATCGTCTGTCCTTTTCTATCGTGGGGACTACCCCCTGGGCATATAGTCATAGCTCCGTCTTGACCACTCCTCATATAGTTTACAGGTAGCCACGTGTTACATCATCAATACATCTTAAGGGGCGTTGGTATCAAGGCCACTAACTGCTGCCTGTGTCCGTTCAGCCCTCGCTTTGCTCAGGATGGCTCGGGATCGGTCGTGGGAAAGTTGATTATAGAGGGGTAAATCACAATCCCGGTACATCCTATCCTATCTACTCTATCTATTTACACTCTTATATTTACATGATTTACAATATTTACATTATTACCGGGCCGACTTTCAGTCGGGACTACATAGTGAATTGACTTGTGGCTACGCTAGGAACCTCCCCCTTCGGGGGTGTGAAACTGGAGTCTCTCTCTCTCTCTTCGACTCCTGACTATCGGCAAGGATTAATCTTTCCACGTAATCCTGTTCCTTACTATTCATTAAATACAGTTACACTGTCCTTCGTTCTTTCACTCTTATACAAGCTACCCCTAGTTCTACATCTTAAAACCCACAGACTATGCTAACCAAACCACGACACATACGCTATAACCTCCTTATTGCCTGACTAACATCCTCGGCAATTACATGATTCTAGCATCCTCCCCTCAGGGCTCACCGGGTACACTTGAGTTTGCACATTCAAATCTCACAACAACACTTTTATCCACAATACTATTATCAACAATATTATTAACCAGCATGGCTGTTATGCGTAAAGAGACTTACTTGACATAGAAGAATGCAGGCTAACTTCCAGCACTCGTCAGACCCATATTGAATAGCGCCTCCAGCTGGCAACTGAATATTCTGTGTTAGATCGTAATCCCAAGTCCCCCGAAATTCCGTAATTTATAGTTTTAATTTGCTAATTCAGCTGTTGACGACAGAGGGTAGGTAACTCCTCCTCAGTGTCCTCAATTATCATAGTAATATTCTGATTGGTTATTATTGGTGGTTGTGGGCGGACCCCTGGCGTCTCATCGCTGTTTATGCGGTAATATTACGATACTCCAGTGGCCTAGTGAGGCAAGCTTCTTGCTACTGCGGTTACACGTACTTGCTGATCATCAACATTCTTAACCTATTTGCCTGTCCAGGTGTTGACAGATTACTGTAATAACTGTGAAACGCTTTTCGCAAGTCTCGAACATTTGGGTAATGCCTTACAATCTCCCATCTCAAATTTGAGGCGCTACAGTGCGTATTTAACTTGTTTAATTTTCCTTCTTATTCTCAGACTGGGTTCCATTTGAAGGGGTTCCCTGATCTGCTCTACTTTGGTCACCTGAAGGAGAGGGTACATCATCCCCCTCCCCCTCAGAGCTCGATTTTGAGGATGCTGAGCTTCAGGATCTTTCAGCCCTGTAAATATCTTATGTCCAGTCCTCTTTATAATGGTATAAGAGTCCGGTTTATAAGTAAGATAAGCCTCTGGCTTTTTGTCTCAGATTGTTTATCGAGTACTCTCCAATACTCAGTGTGGAGTCCTGGATTAAGATTCACAATACATTTCAGCAGCTCTTCCTAATTCTGTGCAACTTTGTCCCTAATCCTGAGAGCCCCTTTAGCAGGCTTGGGTAGGTTCCTGGCATCTGTAGCCTTCGACCTGGCCCCTGATTCCAGCCTGTAATTTTCAGTAGGGTTTTGATTGGTAATCAGATTTATTGCACACTTATGCAACTTGTTACTACACTTCACAAATCACTACAGGACACAGTAGGTCTTCTCAGTCTGCTGTAACTTCAACAGTTTTCTGGTAACAGCTTCCAATGGCAGACATTTCCCTTCCTCTGGGTTCCAGAACTGGTCCCCGTGCCTCAGCTACCAGATTTTAAGAGCAACAGGTCACAAGGATTTAACTTTTATGCATTAATACTGCATATATATATATATATATATATATATATATATATGTTAGAGGCTCTTTAAGATACAAGTCATATATGGTGNCTTTAAGGTACCAGTCATATGGGATGCAAGGCCATGTAATCTGGTGGCAGGTTACCAGCATTTAGGAGAAAGATACTGCCAGATTACTTCAAACCTTGAAGTGTTTCTTCCTGAAACACTGATATCTTTCAACTATATTAGTGGCATCACACTGCAGAAGACAACGTTCTTAATATTTACTATCATGAACACTTAAATTTTATAAAAGGAGTCTTGTGCAGTATCTGAAGATATAAACATCATTCTGAAAACTTCATTCACACTTTACATAGACTCAGAAGCTGAGAAGTCAGCTAGTTTTCTTTTTCTTGGAAGTTAATTATCTAATGAGTATATTCTTTTAACAGGTTCGTATATGGCAAGAATTCCCACAGAACTGCCCCAGTATCTCAACATCATTCGTGTGTATCTCGAGGCAGAATGAGAATTGAAAAGAACAGGAAAAGAGAATACAAAGAAGTAGATGTACAAATAAATAGAAACATGAAGAATTCAGCAGATGGTATTTCCATGCAGCTCTCACAGTCAGAAGAGAATTCATATGTGTGTGACACAGAACTACTTGCATGTCACATGTGTGGCAAAATGTTTCCGTGTAAAAGCAAACTTCAAGAACATTCTACCAAGCATACTGGTGTGAGACCATATGCTTGTGGCATGTGTCACAAAAGATATACACGTCAGAGTAGCTTAAATATTCATGTGCTATCTCACACTGGACATAAACCACATAGTTGTGAAGTGTGTGGGAAGCAGTTCACACAGCTGAGTAGTTTAAAAAATCATTCATTGACTCATACAGGACAGAAACCACGAGTCTGTGAAGTCTGTGGAAGAAGATTTGCAAGATTAGATAATTTGAAGTCACATGTAATAATACATACTAGTCAAAAGTCCTACATTTGTGAAGTATGTGGTAAAATGTTTAACAAAATGGTTCTTCTGAAGACACATGCAACAACTCATATGGAAAGGAAGCCCTTATTCTGTGATGTGTGTGGCAAGAGTTTTGTGAATATATACAGATATAAGACTCATGCACTAATTCATAGTGGAGAAAAGCCTTTTACTTGTGGAATATGTAAGAAGAGTTTCACATTAAAGAATAGTTTGAAAATACACATTCAGACACACACAGGACTTAAACCTCATGAGTGCGGTGTATGTGGGAAGAGGTTCTCTCAGTCGCACAGTCTAAAGACGCATGCTGTCGTCCACACAGGGCAGAGACCGTTCTCATGTCAAGTTTGTGGGAAATGTTTTAAACAAAGACATTCACTTAAAAAACATGAAGGAATTCACACAACCTGTAATATAAAATAAATAAAAGTAGTTCTCTAATCATTATCATCCTGGGAATTGAATACATTTATTCTTGCACCATTTAATGCTACTTCATCAACTGCATAGGTCTTCGTCCAGTGATTGAGGCTAGCTCTTTCTAACGGACCCAACAGAATAGGTGTTTCCCTTTTCCTCCACCTGAGCACGGAAACAGATCCAGTTTCCGAAACATCGTGTTTTTATTTGTTATCTTAAAAACCAGGACGATGGATAAAGTCCAGAAACCCAATATATCAGTGTGCATAAGTCTTGTTCCCTGTTTATGGTTAAAAGCAAGTGACTTCTGATGTAGATGGAATATGGAATAAAGTGACAGAATTATATAAAGGGGGAGGGATGTGGAATGAAGTGTAATTTAAAACCGAAACAAAATGTTTATCCAGAGCAAGTAAAGACAAATAAAATATGTCAGCTTGTCTGGGACCTGATTTAAACTCCTGAACATGAAGTCCAATAAAACCAAAGTTGAAGCTGAATCTGACAAATAACAGTTTATTTGTACACAACATTCCAGGTTAAGTGAACACCTTTCCACCATGACACATTGCATCTTCAGGCTTCTGATGAAAAAGATGGCATCTGTATATGGAAGGTACAGTGCGTACAATCAAGTGCGCGCCGCGGCTGCAATTTGCCGTGAGTCATACCACCGCAGAACGGATGCAGTCGCGGGGAGGAGTTGCAACACTCCCCGCGACTGCATCCGTTCTGCGGTGGTATGACTCACGGCAAATTGCAGCCGCGGCGCGCACTTGATTGTACGCGCTGTAGTTGTGAATGAAAGAGTAAGCAGTTGTGGACAGCTCATAACAGGTGGCCCTCCAGTATGGGAATTAGGTAGGGTCTAACAATTTCTGAACATAAAAGAACAACAGAATGTTATGAAATGTTAAACAGGATCTATAACTCGAATCCTTCAGAATGATAAAAACAACAGGAAATAGCCATGAGGTTTAGAACTTGAAATGTCTGTAAATCAGGTTAACTGAAAACCGTAGGTGAATAGTAGCTAGAAGGGAAGAGACCAGGGGAAGGCTTAAGCATAGATAGTAGGATAATTTTGAAATGGATTATGTAGGATATAAAAGAGTGAACTGAATTCATCTGGTTCAAGATGGAGTTCAGTGGCGGATTCTTGCGAACAGAGTACTCAAGGCACTGAACACTGGATTCCATAAAATACGAGAGCATTGTTTTGAGTACGTGAGGGATTAGTAGTTTTTCAACAACCCCCAGCTCCCTTCCTACCAGTGGAGATAATTACTCATAAACTAGATAACAATAAAATGTTTCGTAACGGCAGTGTAATTTCTATTGCCTATTCATATTATTTCTTCGGGTAGGAAAGCGGCGATAACGATCTACTATGCCTTGAATATCCGTTTATGAGTTTCAATGTTTGAACCTTCCTTGTAGCAGGAGTTGCTATTATTTTAATTAATTATTTAGAAATGACCCTTAATTTCAACAACATATGCCGTCTCTGCATGGTACAAAATGATCTGCTATTACCTCTTTTCGATCGTGATAAAACGTATCTTCCTGCTAGAATTATGTCGCTGGCACCAAACATTAAGGTAAGTTGCCTGTGCGTGAAACCATTTGAACGTAGCAAGTAGACACAATTGAGCGGCTGAAAATTTTAGACGATAATAAGACGTTACTTGTAAACGAAGTCTTATGTATAGATTATGCATGCTAGCTGAAGTTCCAACGTTGTACATACGAGCGTGCTCGCAAATATATATATATATTTTACACTGAGTTCTACAATCATTAGATTGATTATGTGGGAACTTAAGTGTCTAGCATGGTCCTTGGATCTTTTAGTCCTCATAGTTGACAACAGCTGGAGAATGTAAATAACGAAACCCATGGCACAGAACACGTCTTGAGAAAGTAATAGCTGGTCGTCCATTGAATTCCCCCCATTTTATAAAAGTGATCACCAGGGCTTGCAGCTGTTCATAATATGAACGAGATGAGTTCAGTCTGCTCTGCCTTATTCTATATAACTGGCTACTGTAGAATACACTGGGAATGTACATACCAATGCTATTGAAGCCATCCTAAACTAGTACTACACAGTTGGTATACTAATGTTGTATAGTCTCGTTACTGTTGGAAGCATTCTGTGATCAGCCAAAGAAAAAAGTAAAGGTAGGACTTTATTTCAGCACTTCTTGCAGTTTCATTGCACGACGCATAGACACAGAGGTACGCTAAGCACTACAAATGTAAGGTGGAATATACCATACTTTAGTGGATAGTGTTCATACACAGCAGCTATTGAAATTTCCCATGCACACGATGATGTCAAAATATTGGTTTTGGCTTAATAAACCAGGTTAAGACCTCATGATCAAAAAAGGTAAATATATCAGCTGCTCTGAAAATAAAATTTCTGTTGCCCAAGACCGTTGAATTATGCTTTTGACAAATTCATTAGACTTTTAGTTGTATGTATGTTTTTTATCATTCACATGTCAGTAGAAATGGATGTATGGCTGTCAGCAGCCCAAGAGAGTATCTCTATATGTACGCATAATAAAAGGACTGTGTATATATAAAATGGAAAAAACTGTCTCCATGAAGTAGAGCCCTTCTTCAGAAACTACCAATTGCTCAGCTATTTAAAAAGTTTTGAACAATGGAAGGTTCATTACCGTGTTTGCAAGAGCCCTCCACTGGTCCCTGTCCTGAGCCAGATGAACTAAGACAATGACACCCCATCCTGTCTCTAAGAACGAACATGTGTTTGTCTTAGGTATGTGCTGGTGATGGCCTTCCAGCGCAGGTCTGTGAGCATTGTGTGCATCAGATAGACACATCATACAATTTCAAGTTGCAGTGTGAAAATTCAGATCTCGCACTACGGCAGTATGTAAATGGCAAGCGATCAGATATTCATGCCACTCAGGTACTTTATGGTAACATACTGATATATGAAGGATTTTTTTATTAAGAGTGCATGTTCATGTGAGATCTGCAGTATTCATGGCAATGAATATTAAAACTGGTTTTCTGGGATATGGTGCCAAATAGTTGGTAGATGGCTACTGATATTATGAAGGAATGTGCTATACTGTTCTGTAATAAATAGCAAGACAACTTCTTCCAAAATGTTGGTAACCATCTGCCAAACTATATGTCATCACATCTGAGAGAAGACCACAGTCTTCATGTGTCTTCATTGTTTAAGGGAACATGTGAAGATGGTCAGGATTTGGCTGATGCAGTTGTTAATGGTGAAGAATGCTGGGAGAGAGTGTCAGTGAAGGTAGAAGTAAAAGAGTAAGTAAATGTAAAAAGAACAGTGGTGCCTATAGGTTAGTGCATAAAGGAACATTTTCTAAGAAATGTCTCAGATGAACAATGCTTAGATACGAGGCAATCACCAAGAAGTTCAGTTCTGTAAATTTTCCATAAACACATTTAGTGACTACTGAATGTTATGTTATTGTTTGTTCACAGATTGCCAGATGGTGTATGTTCTTTGGAGCATGCTGCTGACTGCTGTTTAAAACCTGATTCTTCTGTAAAAAGAATTTGTAAAAGTTCTTGTAATAATGTTACTAAGTATTCATCCACGATTGCTGAAGTTTCATTTGCCGATAATAGCCAGCACTTACTTAATGAAGAAAAATTATGCCATGGACTGGATCAAAACAAACAACTCAAATCCCATACTGTCAAGAACAAATATATTTGCCAAGACTGTGGAAAAAATTTCCCACAAAAGAGTAATTTGATAGCCCACACAAGAACGCATACAGGTGACAAACCATTCTGCTGTACGAAGTGTGGGAAATGCTTTGGGCGACGAAGTACATTACAGGATCACATGAAAACTCACACAGGAGAGAGGCCGTATTTGTGTGAAGAGTGTGGTAAACATTTTGCAAGAAGTAGTCATCTCAAAGTTCACTTGAAAGTTCATTCTGGAGAAAGACCGTTCTCCTGTAATGAATGTGGGAAAAGTTTTGCTCATGGTTGCCATCTGAAAGATCACTTGGTTACCCACTCAGGAGATAAGCCATTTTGCTGCACTGAGTGTGGAAAATGTTTTACCAGTAGTAGTATTTTTAAACGGCACATACTAAGACATTCGGGAGAAAAGCCATTTGGTTGTAGCGAGTGTGGTAAACGTTTTAGTGGAAGTAGTGATTTATATATACATACTAGGACCCACACTGGAGACAAGCGTTATTGCTGTCCTGAATGTGGCAAAAGATTTCTTCTAGGTTGTCATTTGAAGGACCATATGAAAATACATTCTGGGGAAAAGCCATATTCATGTTTAGAATGTGGTAAATGTTTTGCACGTAAGCAAGTTCTTAATAAACACTGTAAGTCTCACCGTTAGAATTACTTTATTGACAATAATGTTCTTTAGTTAAGGTTTATACATATATATGAATCAGTCTTTCTGTGTATGATACAATAAAGTTGAATTGCACTGGAAAGGGAAGAAACTTGAGACTAGTGACAGGGGGATTATAAAATACAAAGAACTCCTTAGATTCAGTTGTTTGATATTTGACCATCCTGATCATTCAACAGTAATGCACAAACATTTCAGTTTAGGTTTGTCTTATTCACGGATGGAATGTTGCTTATTCAATGTAGCTTCCATGAAACATGGAAGAAAATCATCACGCTTTTTACCATGTCTCTATAAGTTTCATTCCAGGTGCAATTTTTTGTGTGTAAAATTATATATTTTATGATCTTAGTCCACAATTGAACTATACTGACGCAGTGAAGTTAGTGCCAACTTTTGCGGATAGAGGGTGTTGTGTGGTCAGTGCAACGAATCCCCATGGTAGTTAATTTCGGTTTTCTAGACTGGAGCCGCTGTTTCCTTGAAATAGCTCCTCAGTTGTGATCAAAAGGCTGAGTGGACCCCATTCCAGACCCACTACTTCTCAGAAAAAATCTGGTAGCACCGGGAATCGTACCCGGACCTCTGGATCTGTAGCCAGGAACTCTGACCACTAGACCACAGTAAAATTATATAACCAGTCATCCAAAACTCTGGTTCCAAACTACTCGTACATTCATTCACTCATATTGGAACTTCATATTTCACAAAGATGGCAGCAAAAGTAGTGCTTCGAATGTGTTTTGTGCACCCATGTAGGAATGATCGTAACCTTGAGCCTGCAGCTATTTTTCCTTGTGCATAAATCACATCGAGCTAGATGTGTAAAAACAAAGCTATCCTGTTGAGGACACAATCTGTATATTCCTTTTCTTTGGAATCCTATTAATAATTTATATTATTTCTGTCCATCCCTATTCAGAATTCAACTGACAGTGTTATAGATACTACATGGCTCACTTTCAAGGAACTCTACTAATAGCATGTTGTCATAAGACAAATCTGTGTTGTTACTCTTCAGCACCCTGACATCAATATCAGACATGGTAGCCTTGAAAATGCGTGAGATGGGAACATCAGCATCATTCAAAATAGTTTATTTGATTTGTGTTAAGTTGTATAAAATTTTTCATGTACAATCCCCAAAGTAAATGATAGTCCCCCGTGTGGGAGTCACAATCCTGGCAGGACTGCTGGAAGGTGAGTATGATATTGCAAATACTGCAATTGGCTGGATATTCTAAGCCATGTTTATTCCTGGAGATGCCTATGTTAGCAAGGAAAGGTGAATGAGGCCAGTTTGCTTGACATGCCTCACTCAATGCGCAGGTGCCAAATAGTGGGTATTCTTCTATCACAATGTTCCAGCACACCAGTTGTTGCTATGTGGTGCATCAGCTTGTGAAGTCTGATGCTGTGATGTTTTTCCAACTACTGTACTTTCCCGATTTCATACTACCTAAATTTGTACATCCCACTGAAAAACTCAAACTTCAGGCACTGTGCTAAGGTTCAAATATCTTTGCAGATTTGTTGCAAAACATTGTGACTTCAAGAAAGGTTCTGAACAACTCTACAAACACTGGCAATTAGGTGTAGCTCCTGAAAGGTGGTGTCTTGAAAATATCTATATGTAAGGTTTCCTATTTGCACTTGAGCTGAGATTTATTATTATTATTAAAATATATTTCTTTGATCCAACAGTCACCCCACAGGGCTGGATATAAAAAACTGTCATATATCATGTCAGAGACAAACAGTCACATGCAGTAGAATACAGATGTGATTCTTATCCCAAGCCTTTCTGAGAGTGAAGTACATATTAAAATTTGAACTATGGTGACTTCTATTCAGAAGTTTGTGGCTCAAATCTCTGCTTGACTCCTTGTTATTGTGAAGTTTTCTCATATCCAGGTGAATGTCATCATTGCCTCCTTGCAAATCAATTTTGAGAGACCTTGACATGAAATTGAATATTCTAGTTCATATCTGGCAATGAAGGCAGGGACTATAGTTTGTTACGTGCTCATGTTTTTAGCGATAATGTACGAAGACCTTCAGGATTACAGCAATTAAATGATGTTTTAAAGAAAAATAATTGTACAGAAAAGGGTGTCAGTAATGAACTAAATGAATTAAAGAGTGATGTTGCTAAATTGAACGAACTCTTGAAAAGAGGCGTAAGACTGTCAATGAAAGAGGTTATATCAGTAGAAGTTAATACTATATTGGCAAAGATAGAAAGTTTATGTGAAACCGTTAGTGAACAAACTTCAATTGAACCATAGTGGACTGATGTAGTGACTGGAAAGCATAAGAGAATTGGCAATGGTAGGCAGGAAAACATTTATAGCTTGCTTACTTATGGAGCTGAGCCCTTCTTGAGGAGCTGCCAACTCTGCAGCTACTCAAGAATTTCCCAGCATTTTATGGAACCCGAAGGTTCATTACCATGTTCACAAGAGCCCTTCACTGGTCCTTATACTGAGCCAGATCAGACCAATCCATACCATCCCATCCTCTCTCTCTAAGATCCATTTTAATATTGTCCACCCACCTACACCTTGGTCTTCCCAGTGGTCTCTTTCCTTATGACTTTCCCACCAATATCATATACACATTCCTCGTCTCCCCCATTTGTGCTACACCTCATCCTCCTTGACTTGATCATTGTAATTATACTTGGAGAAGATTACAAGTTATGAAGCTCCTCATTGTGCAGTTTTCTCCAACCTCCTGTCACTTCACCTCTCTTCGGTCTAAATATTCTCCTCAAACACCCTCAGTCTATATTCCTCCCTTAATGTCAGAGACCAAGTTTCACACCCATACAGAATCACAGGCAAAATTATAGTTTTGTATATTCTAATGTCTATGTTTCTGGACATCAGACGAGAAGACAAAAGGTTCTGGACTGAATGGTAGCAAGCACTACCCGAGTTCAATCTCCTCTTAATTTCCTCCTGAATCAGGTTTCGATCTGTTATCGTTGTTCCCAAATATCTGAACTGTGCCACATTTTCAAAACAACTGTTTCCTATCTTTATGTCATGATTTTTCCCTGCATTTTGGTGATGAGACAGCAACATATACTTAGTTTTCTCTGTGTTTACTTCTAGACCAACCTCTTGCATCAATTAAAGTTTGTGTGTTTTTCATTATGGTATCTACATTATCACCCAATAGATTCACATCAACGGCATAGGCGAACAGCTGACGTGTCCCATTTAATTTCAGCCCCACCTGGTTTCCCTGGACCTTCCTAATGGCATATTCTAAGGCAAAGTTTGAAAAGGAGTGGCAATAAAGCATCTTGTTTTAGACCATTCTGGATAGGAAATTTATCAGACAAATGTTTACCTACACAGACTTTACTATACGTTTCATTTAAACACATTTTAATCAGCCTAACTAGTTTCATGGGCATCCCAAACTCTTATCAGAATATTGTACAATACTTCCCTCCTAACTGAATCATAGGCTTTATTGAAGTCTATGAATAGCTGATGTACTGTCTCATTGTACTCCTATTTCTTCTCCAATATCTGACAAATGCAAAAGATCTGATCTGTAGTTTATCTGTTACATCGAAACCCACACTGATGATCCAATATAATTTCATCTGTATATGGACTTAACCTTGAGAAAAGAATATTGGATAAAATTTTGTATGAAGTTGATAGCAGTGATACCTCCCAATAATTACTACAGTCAGTTTTATCAGCCTTCTTGTGAATTGGTACAATAATAGACTTCTTCCACTGATCAGGCATTTTTCTTTATGCCAAATAGAAGTAATTAGACTGTGGATCTTAGAACGTAATATTTGGCCTCCTGCTTGAATAAATTCTGCCAGAATTTGATCACTACCTGGTGCTTTAAACCCTTTTTTAATTTTGCAATAGCACCTTCAACCTCAAAAGGGCTAGGATCAGGTACTAGCGGCTCAGCTGTATGGATTTCTGTCTGCCTAACATCGCTGACCCTATGTACATTCAATAACTGAGAGAAGCAGTTCCACCACCTATTCAAAATGTTGTGGGAATCTGCAAGCAGATCACCATTCTCATCCATTTCATGCATGAAAGTGAAGCACAGTGTGCTGCAAGGATTAGTGTTAAGGCCGCTTTTATTTTTGCTGTATATAAATGATCTCGCTGAAAATGTTCGGGGGGCAAAGTTGGTCTTATTTGCAGATGATACTAATTTGTTAATTACTGGATCAGATGAAGCTGACCTTCAACATAAAATAAAGAACATGATGAGAGTTAGAAATATGGTTTGACAAAAACAATCTTATAATAAATTTTGAAGAAAAAAAACATTTGCTATGTCATTTCATCCAAAACAAATGAGGGTTCCGTTAAGACCACAAATAAATTTTAAAACTATAGAAAATACCCATAAATCAGAACTGAGATTTTTAGGTATTTACATCACAGAAAACCTAAAATGGGCTGCCCATGCTTGATTTTTAAGAGCTAAGGTATGCAAAGTAGTTTATATGATAAAAAACATTAAAAGAAACTATGAGCCCATATATGATAAGAAATATTTACTTTTCAAATTTTGAGTCATATGAGGTACCGCATTATATTATGTGAAGGGGATAACGAATGTGACAAACTCTTTAAACTGTGAAAAAAGGTCCTTCGAATTATCACTGGGGTTAATAATCGAACGTCAATTTAGCATTGGCTGTGCTATACATTTTTGAAGTGAAAGGTTTTATTAAAAAAATATAGACTTCATGGCAAAAAATGTGGACATCCATAATTACAACACACGAAGAAAACTATATTTACATGTAAATCATTGCAGTATAGTTCTTTTAAAAAAAAACGTTATAAATATGGGTATCACTTTGTATAATATGGTCCCTGAGCAGATAAAATTAAAAAGAAATTAACTCTTTTTCAGAGGGACATAAAATCCTTTCTGTTGAAACATTCCATTTCTTCCGTTGATGAATTTATGTCCCTTAAATTCTGAAGTGAATGTGTTATGGGTTTATGTTATGACAAAAATTACTTGTCCTCACTTAATCTATATCTTGGTTGTTTAGTTTCTTTTGGTATTGAATTGCTGAAATTTGGGATGATGTATTGTATGACTGACGTGTATGAAATCTGTAGGTAGTTAAGTTTCATAGTATTGTTGACTCATGTATGATATGTATGTTATATTAATTGTAGTAATTGACTTGTTCTATATCCGGAGGTTGTATTTCCAAATATGGATTCGCAGAACAAATAGATGGATAGACTGATTGATTATTTCGGCAACTATAAAATCAGTGCTATGCTAAGAACACTGGTATAGTTTGCACCAAGTCTGGACGAATTATCCATTCAAAGAGTGGCCAGCGAAAACCATGATGACCATGATCACCATGATTTTCTCTCTCATGAAAACTGGTTTAAATGTATTCATTACTTAGCCTCCTCAAATTCTTTCCTTATAATACCACCACGCACCAATAACGCTGACCATCACTGTGGTTACAACCGGTCACAACGGGAAGAATATGAATCTATTGTGCAGGCCGTGCAGGCACCATTTTCCAAAAGGCTGTGAAATGATTAAATGGGAGGCGGAGGAAGAAGTTACCGTAGTTACTGTTTCGATTTCTAACTTCTGCTTAAATGTTATTTTGCATTGATATCCGTAAATAGATATGTCACTGAACTTCAGTTACATATGTCGCCTTTGTCTGAAACAGAATGGTCCATTAATGCGCATTTTCAGCGAAGAGACTGGAGGGTCAGTTCCTACCATCCCTGCAAAAATAAAGAGCTTTGCTCCAACCCTGAAGGTAAATAAATACGCACCAAACCCGTAGACGAAATAACAGAATACTGTAATGGGCGTGGAGAAGTCATAATATTGTTTACAACACATTACTTATGCATGGAATTCCAGTACCAAACAAAATGCATGATCAACTGAGTAATTGTGAAAAAGATTTGATTTGGAATATAACGCGAAGGTTATATGATTCACACACACACTCGCCGTAATCATAGTGTTTTCCCCCAAAACTATAGCTGTGGATTCTTTTAAGTTCGCACACAAGTAATATATATGCCTGACTGATGAACACGAGGGAGAAAAACCGACCTTCAAGCTGAAACATTGAATGAAAAAGGTGTGATATGACAGCTTGTGCCACTCGTTAAAAATGAAAATATATAGTGGAAGTATGAACATGATTTATATTGCATTTTGCTGACAACTTTTTTTTTTTGGCATTATAATTAAGGCCGGAGTTTTTTTTTTCTTTTTGCTATACCTTACAAACGAATTTTTGGTTAAAGTACAAAATATACAGTAGGTTAAGCTATAGGGGAGTCCAGCATGTATTCTGGAGTTTATAGAAATTGCCCAGTTTGGAAGCTCATACTTTCGTTTGTTGCTGTATTTCCTTGAGGGAATTAAACATAAACGTTCTGATAGAAACTGCCATTTCAGTAAACTATGCTCAATTTCTCAAGAAGTCAAAATTTGTTGACTCATTATTGGAAAAGCAATTCAGTATATTCATTGTAAATCCTCCAAATAAAAGTTGTGTGACAAGTACTGTACTAATTTTGTGTATAGTAAGGTTAAGTTGTTTGAGGTGTATTTGACATGAAGTGTTTATTTAATAAATTTTTATCAGTAAAGGAAAGGCATCCCTGTAACAGGCCTTGGAGGCCCATAGGGTTGTGAGATGTTGAGGTTCCCACATTTTCTAGACAATCGGCTCACAGATGGCGGCTAGGTTGTCAGCCTTACCCGCTGGCCACGCTTTACTCCCCATGAAAATTATTTAATTAATTCCTGGTACTCATTTCTGTTAGAGGCTGGGTGAACCACATGGCCATAGTGTGGCTGGAAGGATTAGGTAAATTGAAAATATCCACCTTATCAAGATTTGATCCCGCGACCTTCCGGCTTGTAGCATAGTGCCTCAACCAGTAAGTAAGTAAAAGTAAAGTAAAGCTGTACCTGTAACAGGCCGTGAAGGCCCATAGGGTTGTGAGACATTGAGGGTCCCACATTTTCTAGACAATCAGCTTGCAGATGGCAGCAAAGTTGTCAGCCTTACGTGCCAGCCGCGCTTTACTCCCCATGAAAATTATTTAATTAATTCCTGGTACTTATTTCTGTTAGAGGCTGAGTCGACCCCAGGACCATAGTGCGGCTGGAAGGATTAGATCAATTAAAAAAAGTCCAATGACCCCATCAGGACTTGAACCTATGACCTTCCGGCTTGTAGCATAGTGTCTCAACCAACTACGCTACCGCGTGCCCCCAGTGCCTCAACCAATAATTAATGAAATTCTTCACAGTTGCTTACCATTAGGGAATACAGACACGCATTTGAAATCTGCTAGACATGCTTGAAAATTCACTTTCCCCTAGTCTCACAGTACAGTGCATATAAATATTTTTGTATATAATACTTAGGAACTTTGTGTTAGTTAAATAATAACATCAGAGATCAAAGGTAATTTATTTTCTTAATATCAAAAATTAAAGAAAATCACTTATACTACAAGTATAATACATATATTGTATTTTAATAAAGTTATATGGAGATTGAGTATGTACTTTGCCAAAGTCTATTAGGTCATCAGTCCTGAATGATTAACTATTTCTGGAGCTGTTTTTAAAATTCCTTTCAAACAAGCCACAGATATAGTTTAGTTTTTTTTTTTTTTATTATTTATTTATTTATTCTGAACAGGACACAATTAGTTTTCTTATTCAGCATTTTGCCTTGGTTATAGCTCAGTGCTGGTGATGGTCTTCCAGATCAGATCTGTCAGCAGTGTGCATACCAAGTAGATACAACATACAAATTCAAACTTCAGTGTGAAAGCTCTGATGCCACATTACGACAGTCCCTCATAAATCAGACAATTCAGGTAAGTTTGCATCTAATACACAGTCTTACCATGAGTGAAGAATTACAAAATCTCACAAAGTAATGTTTTTAGAAACAAAATTAAATATTTTACAGTGGTTTGAGCACAACAGAAATGTGCAGCTGCATTGCAAACTGCTTTAGTTGCCAAGAAATGTTTCCTGACACATCAGGTAACACACTTTATCGAATAATGGCCTGAGCAGTTTTTTTACTGTGCCATATGCAAAATGCATAATCTTACATTCACTGCATTGCGGCAACCCGAGTTCGATCCCGGGTCTGGTCAAGTGGGATTTGTGGTGGACAAAGTGGCGCTGGGGTAGGTTTTCTCCGAGTACTTCGGTTTCTCCTGCCAATCTTCATTCCTCCAATTGCTCCACAATCACCCTCACCTATCATCTGGGGCTGGTGCAACAGGCCAGAAGTGGCTGCAGTACAAGGGACTTAGTCCCACCTCACTAGGGAAAAAAAATACATGCACTGCATCAACTTCAGAGTTGTCAATGATCAAGCAAGTATTTCTCAAAACACATTACTTGTTTGTGTGTAAAAGTTTGGTGTTCTACATTATTAGGATGTGCAAGCAGTCTGCGCAGTTAAAATCTAGCTGGAATAATTTTTCTGTATTGAGGCCGTGAAATGGTTTACTCCTCCAGATCTCCCTCAAGCTGTTGCATGTCACTCTCCAGCATATATCACTATAATCCACTCCAGTTGTCTAACCATTCTGTTCACTTGAATAGTGATAGCCACATGAAAATTTTGGTAGCCATTAGTGCTTTCAGATGGTTAACATATGCCAGAGGGCACTAGAGAGTAATACAATAATTGGCAGAAAAGGGGAAGCCTTGATTGCCAACCTCCCTATCATTCATGGCCTCAGGATTGGTGCCGTACATTTACCATATTAAGATATTATATGAGGGCAAGTCACACATATCCAGAATTTTTTATTAAATAATAAAATTACAGTGGGTATGTACAAAGTCAATAAAAGCCACAAGCTTCTGTATGCCTTCAGAAAAAAATGTTTTTGGTTAAGTGACTGTCCATGCATGAACTGCCTCTTTCACTTCCTGATCACTGGTGTAATGGCAGCCTCTAGCCTCTCATGTGGACAGAACAGGTGACAGTCAGAAGGAACCAAATCAGGACTATACAGAGGATGCTTCAGCACTGGCAGAGGCTTTCAACAGTGTGGGTGGAAGTGTGCGGACTGGCATTATCATATGATATTGTGACACATTTCAACAACAGTCGTCACCTCATTTGTGTGTAATACAGTTCTATAATGCAGCTGTTTAGTTGTGGAATCTTGTGTTTCCACCTGGTTCATGTTTTATGAGTTTTTATTACATGTTTCATTAATATGTAGTCTTCGGCAGGTATATGTCTTACACTGATTGTTTCACTGTGAATGTGTCACGTTCAGGTATATGAAAATAAAAAATACGTAGGTTAGTCAGTAAGTTACAAATTGATGTGTAGTACTACATGTTTGAATGAGGCACTTAAGGCTATTGCCACTAGATGGCAGCATTAGTCCAATGGCAACTGACGACATTCAACATGAGACAGTCGATGTTTACGAAAGCGAAACAGCAGTTGCAAGATGGCAATGCCTGTGAGTGAGTGTACAACCCTCGAGCAGTGCTCCGTTGTGCGATTTTTGTGGACAAAAGGTATGGAATCAAAGAATATTCATAAAGAAATGCTTCCCATCTATGGTGAGAAGTGCCTGTCACATCAAGCTGTTTACAGTTGGGTGCAGAAGTTCTCTGACTGCTGGACACATATCAAAGATGAACACTGCGTCGGCTGGCCAACGGAGATTGCCACAGAGGCAAATGTGCAGTGGGTTGAAGACTTAGTCCAAGCAGACAGAAGGGTAACTATAGACACTATAGCCACTGCTATTGGTTGTTCACACGGCATGGCCTACCTCATAATGCATGATAGGTTAGGGTTTCACAAAGTCTGTGCATGATGGGTGCCGCGCATGCTGACCCCACAACACAAAATGCAAAGAATGGGCCTGGCATTACAGCATCTCAATCACTACCACGATGAAGGACACGATATGCTAGCCCGAATTGTCACAGGTGATGAGTCTTGGGTTCACCATTACCAGCCTGAGACAAAGCATGCATCAGTGAAGTGGAAACATCCTGAATCACCTGCCAAAAAAAAGTTTAAGGTGACACCATCCTCCAGGAAAGTGATGCCCACAGTCCTCTGGGATCACGAAGGCATACTGCTCACTGCCTTCCAGCCTCAAGGACAAACCGTAAATGCCGACTCCTGCTGTAACATCCTCAGGAAACTTCGTAAGGCCATTCAACGGAAGCGACCAGGACTCCTCACCAAAAGCGTGTTGCTCTTGCATGACAACACGCGTCCCCATACTGCCAACAAGACAAACGAGACACTGCGAAATTTCAAGTGGGAAGTCCTCGAGCATCCTCTGTATAGCCCCAACCTTGCTCCAAGCAACTTCCATTTGTTCAGCCCTCTTAAACATCATCTTTCAGCTGAATATTCTCCCGACGATGAAGCTGTAGAAAGGGAAGTCACTGCTTGGTTCCGACAGCAGCCCAAAAAAATGTATGCTGCTGGTTTTCAGGGGCTTGTGAAACGATGGGACAAGTGCCTCAATGTACAGGGAGATTATGTTGAGAGATAAAAACATTTTTCAAATCAGTACTCTTATTTGTTTAAGTTCTGTATCCATCTGTAACTTACTTATTGACTTACCCTCATATATGGAAGTCTAGAAGTGCTGTGTCCAACAGTATTAAAAACAAATCAATGTATTTGCCATGGGTGCCCAATTATTAGCAATTTTAGGAGAATCATATTTACAACACCTAGAACATAAACAGATATATCCAAAAATAATAAAACAGGGCATTTCCAGTATGAATATGACATTCTTGTCTTCTGGAACCATTACAAAACTAAAACCGAACAGACCTTAAATGATTCTGTATTTCAGCATCCCGTTGCAATTGTTCAAATTAGCGTCCATTGTTTATCTTCCGTCAACAAATTACAACCTTCCATAAAATTCACTATATTAAAGGAACTACACAGTTTTATTCAGTTCATAGAACTGAAAGAACATTGAGAAGATACTCAATATACAGAAAACCCATGCAAATGGATCATAATACATCACAATTTTTGTCACCCATATGAACTCAAATTAGTTAACTGCTAAACAGACTACACATATCCAGCTCTCAAGAAGCAAAAGAATTAGAAATAAACACCGTTAGTAAACATACTGCATAACAGTCATCAATACAACAACATCCAAATAAAATGGGCTGCCTTCCCACACAACAACATACAACTTACAAAAAGTAAGACTGAAAAACTTTTCTAAGACACAAAACTAAAAAATGACTTATTGCACACAAAACACAATAGAAAGACAAATTAAAACTCCATTCACAGACAGACAAATATAACAAAAGTAGTATGTGTCAAGTTAAATACCTATACTGTCAGTACATACATAGGACAAATGAAGGGAGAGTTTAATACTAGATATAAAGAAAATAAACAATAGAAACAACAGTAGTAATTACAGATACTCAACCCACATTCTTAATACAGGACATATGTATGATAGTGTAGCTGATATCATGGACAATATAAAGAAAGAATAGAAAGAGGAACATCCAAATAGCCTCAAGAACTACCATAGTTATGTAACCAGCAAGGGGCTCCTACAGGTTAGTGATATTTATCTATATAGACGCAACCTTATATTCAAAGCTCTAAATCAGATAGCAGCACATAAACCCAATCTACTAGAACAATTGTAATGCACACACATCAACTACCAGCAATACATACAAGTATATTCACATATACCAAACTTAAGAAAAATATGTATTATAATGTAAACATACAACATATAACATATGTTATATGTATAACATATCCTCTACACATTACGAAGCAGAACATACATCCATCCATCCAAAACTCCAGACATCCAGTGGTGTCATGGAAAAATGGAAAAAAAAAACAACATCCAGCAACCATGAACACCAGTCACAAACTGCCACTAAGAAGAAGAAAATATTACAGTTTTTACGGTTTTTATTAAAGATTTTAGCTATATTTACAAGGTTCAACTTGGATTTAGAACGTTTATACTTTCATTTTATTTGCTTACCTATTCATTTGTTTGTTTATTTTTTGTCATATACTTGAAAGTGACCTGTGAAGTGAAACAGCTGATGCAAGACATACATGAAGATGACTGTATACGGCTAAAACTTGTCATAAACACGTATGAAATGTTAACTATGTGGTTAAAACAACATTCCAGAACTAAATAGTTGCAATAAAAGACTGTTACACATGCATGCACGCGTGCGCATGCACAAGCTACTATTCTAGGAGTATGGAAAGTTTTGCATCTACATGTGAACTATCTTTTGTGTCTTAATATAATTTACCTCTCTTTTAGCATTCACCACATGAAATATTTCTTACTGTTTTGGATACTGGGTGTGGTATTGACTCCAGCAATAATACTACAATAAAGCATGAAGTAAAAGAAGAAATATTTGTAGAGGAAAATCATGTTCACCCCGAAAATAATGAAGAGAGGTTTGTTCTGCTTTCCTATAACGCATATTTAAAATTTATATAAGGTTACTAACAGAAGTTATTGCATCTCATAGAGTACAAAATAAAATTGGTAGGTCTGGTTATTACATGTTTCACTGTGAGTTCTTTAGACAGAATGTCCATGAATACATCTTGTTCTTCTTCATGGGCCAACCAAACCTGATGGGGAAGCATCCACCTGAGTGTGCATTCACAAAAGAATCTGGCTTTATTTTCAAAGTGTGGTTTTGCCACTTGATAATTCACTGTTATGTTTATTTTTACCTAAATTGTAAGAACATGAAGATCATTGTTGCATAAGTGAAGAAGATGCAAGCTTATAACAGTCCTGTTAACATTCTCTACAATTAACTGTACACATGCTCTACAGATTATCATGTTTTTTCTTTATAACCTGTAACTTTATCAAAAACATTTATCAGTTTGATGAATCTTGAACTTTGTTGCACAGTGGAAACTAATTATTTTTTTTCCTGTCTGTTAGTAATGTAATTATCTACTTGACTTATTATGAAATTAATAAACTTTTTATGATTAGTAGTTCCAACACCATAACCACCATAGTTTTCGTAGTCCATAAAGTGGTTGTGACAGTCATTCTTTTGTTGGTTGGCAACAACTTAATTTGTGAAGTATTCATTATGCAGCATCAAGACAGTAAATAATAGAATACTGGTAAACAGGAATATACATTCCTAAGATTGTCATGATAAAGAAGCAGTTTCACTATAGATTATTTTAAGGATACTAAAATGCTAAGAACAGCTTCTTTTATTAGTGTCATATAGAAAAATATTTTTAAAATATGTCAGTTTATAAAATAAATGAGTCAGTGAAGTGATTAGCTTCAGGCTGGGTGCCCAGGGTTAATTTTTCATTAGGAAAACATTCTTAAGTTTGCCACCATATCTGGATTGACTCCAGGATAAATACCGAGGGCCCTGACCCGAGGAATAAATAAAACATCATGCTGATCACTGTTGCCATCTAGTACTGGCATTGAGAACATATTGTCTTTATGATGTGATGCTGAAACAGGCTGCTTCAGATCACCTGCATTCTATAGTCACTGATGATCACAACATGGGATGGAAATGCTCAGAAATATGTATTATATATTGTATGTGTTGATGGATAACTGTTCAGACTACTTAGTCTTGCCAGGTAGGTTATACATGTATGTCCATAACTTCATTGCATTAGGGCTTAGCATGTATATGGTTGGAGGGATGCTTTATGCAGTAGAAACTTGGCAAAGCTATAACAGTCTTGTTGATCAGACATAATTATTGCCCTTAAATGTATATGCATTTCTCTTTACTCAGAGGTTACACATGTTCATTTTACTTATTGTGTCTTTCTCATAGTATGTATTTTTGTTGCCAGGATTTGTAATGATGCTTTCATAGAAAGCAGTACTGACTCATGGACGAACCTTCAGACTGAGACATCATCCAGTAAACTGGTTCTGAAGAAGGCTCCTAAAAAGAAACAGTCTAGTTCACCAAGAAAAATTATTACAAAAAACTGCAAAAATCAACAAGCCTTTTCACAGAAAATAAATGTGAAAGCCTGTAAACAAGTAAAGCAGGGATACAATTCCCTTACAGGAGCCAATGCCAAATCAGGAAGTGAAGAGCCAGTATATGTGTGTGAAAAGGAATCAGTTTCTGTTGACTTTGTGAAAGATGATGATGACAATGAAAGTGTAAGTAATGAATTTGGTGTTGAAGTTCAAATGAGAAAAAAGTCATACATAAAATTATTTCATTGTCATGACTGTGGTAAAAACTTTGCAAAGAAAACACAATTGGTTTTACATATGAGTGCACACACCGGTGCAAAACCATATATATGCAGTCAGTGTGGAAGAACTTTTGCAAGTAGAATTAACTTGAAGAAACATTTGTTTACACATACTGGTGAGAAACCATATCTTTGCACCAGATGTGGCATAAGTTTTGGCCGTATAGACACACTGACGAAACATATGAGATCACATACAGGTGAGAAGCCCTTTCACTGTTCCGTGTGTGGAAATAATTTTGCACGTCGCAGTACCTTCACAAATCACATGAGGACACACTCGGGAGAAAAGCCATACTTATGTACAGAGTGTGGATGGCGCTGTGTTCAGAGTTATGATTTAAAAAAACATATGAGGTGCCATACCGGAGAAAAACCATTTCGATGTACAATCTGTAGAATGAGTTTTGGGCAAAGAAACAGTCTAACAAAACATATGAAGTGTCACATAGGAGATGTGCCCCTAACTCTGGAATGTGCAAAAGAATTGCAGTACCAATGTTAAATTTAGTATATTTTGTATATTTGTATATTTAATGTAAAAATGTGTTAATATATGAAGGAAGAATAATATTTGTGAAATAGTTTCTAAATAAAGCAGGTAATATTGGCAACATCATCCAGACTGGTTCTCGGACCCACCCACCTTTCCAGTGGGTACCGGGGGCTCTTTCCCTGGGGGTATTTTGGTCAGGGCATGAAGCTGACCACTCAAATCCAACTAGTGCTGAGGTCAGGAAAACATGGATCTAGACATCCATTCCCCCATATACCTTCATGGCATAGTGCTTTATTAGTTAAGCACAGGGGCAACTTTGCCTAATATTGGTAACAGAGTCAGAGTAGGATGTTTGGAACAGAGTGGAACTAAATAGCCGGAAGGAAATCAGTTCAATGTTGGAGCTGGACTGGGTAATGAATGGAAGTGCAGCAACCATGAATTATGTGGTTGGAGAAATATTATGGTAATTGTTTCTGTCATATATAATGTAGGGAAAAGAAGAAAATTATCTTATAAAAATTCTAAATCTAGTGCACACAGTCTGTCCGTACCAATAGAAGCGATTTCTCATGGTCATTTCATTCCTGCTTTTGTGTTGCAAATGCCTGAACCCTATAAAGCACATTGTAAAACTCTCCATTTTGCCCACACAGTGTATTAATATGCTTTGTATGATTCTCATAATGAACAACCATTATTTTGCTAAACAGTATAAATTGGCCTTTATCTGTAATGGTGATATTGTGTGTTTCTTGTAAGGTAGGAACAGAAATACAGTAGAACTTGGTTATAACGTCATCAAAGGGACCTAAAAATAGTGTCGTTATAAACAAGTGTCGTAACCGAAATGGGCACTTCCACAGTAGCCTTATGTTAGTCACGTAAAAATCTACGAAAAACCGAGTTAAAATGTTGCATTTTTTAGTGAAATACGTAGTTAAGTACAGACTAACGTAACATTAATGTGGAATTGCCCAAATGTGTAATATCAAAGACATATTACAGCGCTTTTCACTGACAATACACACTGCACTAATACTGTATATTAAAGGTAGGCCTACTCACCAAATTACAGTAGATTACATCAATTGTTGTGCCTTACTGTACCTAGATACGAGTACAGTAATCAGTTATCTTCATCTGTTTCCTGTTACTTGCCCAATACACACTTTCTAAATTACGTTCAATGTCCATATCAGAGAAATTCAGGAATGAAAATGACGTTACATACGAGGTTGATGCATTTGTGCATGTCGTACTAAGCAAGGTATAAAAACAGTTGCTTTATGAGGAATTAGTTCGTACCATTGAATATTCGACGCAATAGACAAGGTGTCGCAGAAACCGATGTTGCTATAACCAAGTTTTACTGTATTTAAATATTAGCCAAACTTCAAGCCTCAGATGGTTAAAGTTTTATTAAAATAAATATGTGTTATTTCAACACACAGTGTTAATGTTAACAGAGAGTGGAATGATCATAAAGTTTTAGCCTCTAAGTGCAATATAATCTGTGAGAAGAAATTGTTTAACAAATTCTCATGTCAGTTTCATGTGTATATTAAACACTATATGTGACACATTTTAAGACAAACATAAGATGCAAGTATTCTGGCAAAGTTATTCCAGTACACTCTGTAAAACAATATTACGGGCTATGTTTTATTTTTTTCCTGAATTAAACACCATCATAGGATACAGCAGAATCTAGTTATACAGGGCAAGATCCTTATATAGGATTTTGATGTACCCACAAAATGATCTTAAGTTTTAGTACCAGTGTTTTTGAACCTATCAATGCATGAATTATGGTAGCTCACAAGGTTACTATACAAAATAACAGTAACATTAAATGCAACCTAGATTATGAAATTAATTTGGAATTATATGAATACAGTTAAAGGACTGTGAATATCATAAAGACACCGAATGTGTGTCTTTATACAGAGATGTAATTATAAATGGTTGCTACCAAGTATAAATATGCACCCATCATATTTCTCAGTATTTCAGCATGTCATATATAATAATCTGTAAGTTAAATTAATCTGACATCTGTGACCCATGTTCAGTCTTCCATATGATAGGGGATGTTACTATATGAAATCAGATTTATAATTTTATATCCCCCTATTGTATGGCTATTCAGGCCTTACGTAACAGGATGTGACATATATGGGCTATATATATTCAGTTCACATTGTTTTCAAAATAATGTCACATAATAGTTGAGTTTTATTCAAGATAAATTGATACAAATTACTGTTTCAACATGTCCATGTTATGAATTGAATATACAAAATGTCTGCTCAAATTTTACATACAGATGAGTTTTAAATGACAACATAAATTCTAAAATTAAAAAATTATTAGTCCCAAGCATATAAATCCATATATGTATGCATGACACGTTTGAACTACCATTCTGAATGGTATAAAACTTTGTACAGTAGAACTGGATTTAACTTTATCGAACCATTTAATGATTTTAAGCTGCTACACTTTGCATTTTAAAAATGTAAAACACTTGTAAAATATTTTAAATTATATTAAAAATATCATGCCCTAGTTATTTTGTTGTATGCACATGTTGTGGGTCTGGTGAATCTGTAATATACAATAAGGCAAAGTTGTCCCTGTGCTTAACTAATTAAGCACTACGCCATTAAGACGAATGGGGGAATGGATGTATAAATCCACGTTTTCTTAAACTCTGCTTTAGCTGGAGGTGAGTGATCAGCTTCACGCCCCGGCCGCTTTACCTCGGGGAAAGGGACCCCGGTACCTCGAATGGGGGAATGGATGTATAAATCCACGTTTTCTTAAACTCTGCTCTAGCTGGAGGTGAGTGATCAGCTTCACGCCCCGGCCGCTTTACCTCGGGGAAAGGGACCCCGGTACCTATAGGCTAGGAGGCTGGGTGGGCCCCAGAGCCGGTCTGGACGAAGACGTGGAGAGAGAATTCTTGACCGTACATGAACTCAAAATCTAACCCCTCGGTCGTCGAGCCCGTAGCTAGTCGCTGTATCGACTGCGCTATATAATACTGGATTATATTTGTGTTTCTTTATCTGTGAAATGAATATTTTATGTCATATGCAGTTATTTTATCACTGTAATTGTAATGTTACTTATATTTTGTTGGGTGTGTTGGTTTTCCTTTGGAGCTCTGTGTAGCTGTTCTGACCAAAGGAAAACAAACGTAGAAGAAACACTGACTGAATTCAACAAATAATCCGCTATAAAATTAGAACTACAGAGACAGACCAACAACATATCGTGTTACATAAAATATTCACTTCATAAACAAAACACTAACATAATCCATCTACCAACTGTCTGTTGTAGTGTATTGGTATCGGGGTTGTATTGCTCTTTTCTGGGCACTCGTCCCCATACCACATACCACAGGAAGGTTGCTTGCAGTTAGCCCAGTAAAATTAAAGTAAAGCTATCCCTGTACCAGGCCATGAAGGCCCATAGGGTTGTGAGACGTTGAGGGTCCCACATTATCTAGACCAGCCGTGTCAAACATGCGGCCCCTCAAATTTTAAGGCGAATTGATATTAAAATCAATATTAAAATTTTAGTAAATATTTTTTTGTAAAGACAATTTTCCAACAGACCAGAGGACAAGAGGTCTCACGCAGACATAAATTGGCTGGCTGCAGGAAAAGTGATTCTGAAAATTGCAGAAGCGTTTGTTCAACTAACGGTTTGTAAAGTTCGTGAAGGACAAACTACTGTATTTCAGAAGGTTAATGCACTAAAATCCGCACAGCCTCATCACCCCAAGCATTTCTAAGAATCCCTTTTGGAGGCGTAGTAAGAATGCAAGGATGGTGGCAACTGACAGACAAGTGCAAGGGATTTCTACCTTCAAAACTAGCTTGCAACCCCCAGCCATTATCTAATGGGCTGCTAGCAAACTTTCACTTTTATGACCATTGAGACAAGATACACCTTCCTACTAGTCCGGTAGTCTCTTGTACATTGTCATTCAGTTCATTTTCACACAGCGACCGGTGTTGATGTTACATTGTGACGAATGCATAAAGGTTATAATTAAACATTAAATTATCAACTACGAGTTTTCTTGTATATGTATAGTAACTTTTAAAGGGCAATGTAGTTTTCAAAAAAATTCAAGTAGCAAAAAAAGAACTACTGAAAGTGAGCGCCGTGTTTTTCAAGAAAAATGGGGAATCGCTTGTTTATGTTGTGAAATAGAAGGTAAAATTACACGTTTGATTTTTGGGCAAAATATAAGTGTTCCACTTTAGGTAATTATATTGAAATTATTCCTAAATAATAAATAGAATTAAATTTCCTTGTATCAAAATCTAATGTATACGAGTATTTCTATTTTGAAGTGCGGCCCTGGACTATTATTTATAGGGCCGAGGTGGCCCTCTATACAAGTTGAGTTTGACATGCCTGATCTAGACAATCGGCTCAAAGATGGCGGTAAGGTTGTCAGCCTTACGCGCCGGCCGCGCTTTTACTCCCCAGGAAAATTATTTAATTAATTCCTGGTACTCATTAATGTTAGAGGCTGAGTAAACCCCAGGGCCTAGTGCGGCTGGAAGGATTAAGTCAACTGAAAAAAGCCCAGACATGGCCGAATTGGTGGCGGTTGTAACACTACGTGAGACCAGTGCCAGGATCTGTACGCCTCTACCCTGATTGCAATATGGCAAAGGATTGTCAGTTTGAACATCTCGTTGGACTTGAATCCTTGGTAAGGTTATTAGGAGGAGGGGAATATTTATTGTGGTTTTGCCTTCTGCTGGTGAACGACGAGTGGCAGCTTTTACGCTAATAACATCAAAGGCAAGGTTCAACAACCCTTCTGAGATGTCCTCTGCAGGAGGTGAAGCTGGAAGGTGCTGTATCGCAACCTTTATATGCTTCTGGGTTTCGGGATAGAAGGCGATGTATGGAAGGATATTGCTCTCGAAGTGAGGGCGGATGGCTGAAAAATCCGCCATTTCTTTCGTGACAATTCAGGTCCCACTTTTTGTGTTACGGAACCCAAAGTTGCCTTTCAATAAACCCTTCAGATTTTTTTGCAATTGCATCCGGTTTACTTGAGAGGTTAGTAAAATTGGAGGTGGCCTACCTGCCTGGCTGGATGGTGCCTGATGTCGC